GAGAGAAAAGTCTTTGACTTGGTCATGCTAAGCGTGGTTTGAATAACATTGAATGTGAGGTGAGATAATTGACCTTACAAAGGTTGACACCAAACATCAAATGAGTGACGTCAAGCGTGAGGAGAGAAAATCGTCTTTGCTTAAAATGGGGTCAGGTGTGGATTTTTCCATCCCAGGCGTGAAGTCCTAAGGATTCCTTACCTCATTCACGCTAGGCACGGGTCGAATGGCACTAGGCATGGGCGAGGTAGAGAGTTGCTTACCTCAATGGCGTCAGGCACAAGATGCGTGGTGCCACGATTTACTATGAAAATTACTATTATTTGATTGATGATATGGTGAACATGAATAAGTTAGGTGAATCTATTATATGTTATATGATGATTATGTTGTATTATATGTCATATGTTGATACATGATGTTGAATTTTTATACCTTGATGTAGTATAATATATAAAGCTGGTTAAATGGTTGAAAGTTGAGTTGAGTTATATGTTGTTTAGTTGAGTAGCTGTGTCAATAATGCTTTGATATTAAAGTTGTATTGTGTTGATTGACTTAAAACTAGAGGAGTAGTTGTTTTTAAAGTTTCATATCCCATTATGAGGATATTTTGTTATGGTTCTCTGAGAGTCCAGTTTGTTGAAAATATTTTTTGGAAAGTTGACCCTTAAAGTGGATAGTTGTGTCTCCTCTAGGACCTTAGTTAATGCGGGATGTGGGTCGAGTTGAGGCATATCAACTACAAGTGACCAATGTTAATTCATATCTAGACAAGGTTGACACATTTGTATAAAGCGACAAAATTAAAGTAAGGTACAAGGTTAGAGACAAAAATCCCTAACTAAGTACTAGAAGAGTGTAGTATTTGGAGGGTGGTCGGGGGACTAATTCCATAGGTGGCTTAGTTATGCTAGCTAATGTCATAATAGACTCATACCCAAACTTCTACCCTAACAAGAATATTAGACTTTCTAGTTTAAGTGGCAAAATTTGAGAAAATATGTTGTGTTGTGGATTATTATCCAAAATTGGATGTTGATCTAGTTGGATTAAAAAGATCGAGTTGTTGGTTCACTAGGGTTAAACCACTTAGACTGTTTACCTGTGTTGTAGGAGGTCTCTTAATTGAAATGTGTCATGCCACATATAGTTGATTTGTTGTGCATATGTAGTTGATATTGTTGAGTTGTGTGATGCATATGTTCAATTGTGGTGAGATATATGTTGTTGAGTTGATAAGTTGTGTTGTGAACATATTGTGTTATATGGTTAATGAGTTTATTGTGTTGTTAAGTTGTAGGTTAATGTTCTGTTGAAGCATGTTGAGTTGATTATGTTGATAATATAATAAGATTTACTTTTATACTATTTATGTTGATTTCTCTTTGAATACTAACTTACCCTTGTATATTTTTTATGTGATTAGACGACGATAATCATACATGATATGAGAGCAAAGCATAAATATGTTATTGGTGGAGTTCTTTTGAGGTCATGCTAGCAATGACAATGTTATTATTTTGGGCTACTTCATAGTAGCTAGTCTGGTAGTTATTAGTTGTTGCTTAACCGACAACATCTAGAGTTATATATTACAGTATTTGGATTACTGCATATGTAATACATATAAGTGTACTTATATATAGTGTTTCAATACTTATATATAGTGTTTCAATTGTTTGTGTAAATCACACACACACACACACACACACATGCACACACACGCACACACACGCACGCACGCACGCACACGCACACACGCACGCACGCACACGCACACGCACGCACACACACCACTTGTATATCTAGAATTTGTTGTATATTAATTCTAGGTAGGAGTATGTATGTCTTTTCGCTGTTTGTAGTGGAATTATTAAGTATAGAAATCATGATGAGTCGTTACATATTTAGAATTTTATCCTTAACAATAAATCAATGATAATTATATTAATTTATTGATTTGTAAAACAATAATAAATTCATATTTAAATAACTACAAAGATAATTTAATAAGATATTTTCCTTATAATAAAATAAATATTATTCACATAAAATATTAATAAATTTTAATGTTCATTATATATAAATTAGATATATTTTTTTGAAGAAAAAAAAACTTTTAGCCCCGTTAAGTTTTTCAAATTTGTTTCTGGTGCTCCACTTTTTTTTCCCATTATATTAACCCCTCTAATTTGTTTTGATCTGTATTAATATTTAAAAGAATAGATTTAGCTAAGTTGGTTTAGAGGGTGATTAAGTGCTGTAAACCCTTCGATATCAAAATATCAAATTTGATGACAAAAAAAACTACCAATGTTTGAAAGCAACTATTCATAATAACTCAGAAGTTAGAGAAGTATATAAACATGTGATTGTCAAATGGATTGCGAAAAAAATACTACTTCTATTATTAAAATCAAATAAAAAGTGTGTATAACATCATAAAATTTAATCAAGTGAAATTATTAGAAAGTTAATAATTACTGCACATTTATGATTTTTAAATATCATCATTAATTGAACATGTGAAAACAGATAATGGCTCATTAAATATTTAGATGAAAATTTAATTTATCTAATTTAATACTTTCTTTGAACTTATTTATAATAAATAATTTTTTAAATTTTTTATTCAAATATAAGTAAATTTCAATTATGTGAATTTTATTAATTTATTTAATGTTTTTAGTCCACAGAAATACTTCTAAGACAATAAGTGAGAGCATTTATAATAAATATGACTAAAGATATTTTAAGAAATCTAAGTATATATTTTATGTGAAATGGTGAAAAATTATATACATTTAATTAATTTCTTTATTCTATGTGAAACCAATCTTTTATTTATTTATTTATTTATTTATATATAAGTCCAAAAGGAGTTCATATATTTTTTATCTTGCGTATTTACTATACAAGTTAAAGAACGTTAATTTAGTAAATGTTTTTAAATACGGTTGATTTCGTTTAAAATATAAATATTAAGTATGTTAAAATATAATAAATATTTTATTTTCAATAAAAGTTACTCATTTGTATTGCAAATTTGCAATGTTTTTACGTACAAATTAAAAATAATAATAAATGTATTATTTTTTATAATATACTTTTATTAAAATAATTCTATACTCTCAATAAATATATTACTTTTAATAATAATGATTAAATAATTAATGAAGAGATAAATTAAAAAAATTAATATTATATTAAAAATAAAAATATCAATTATTTTGAGATAATTTTCAAATACTAAAAAATACAGTTAATTTGAGACAGATGGAGTATATATTTGTTCAATTAACCTATATTCTTAAAGAAAATTTACTGCACAGAAAACTTTTAGTATCTCCTAAAAATGAAGTTGAGAATATTAATTTTTTATTATTAGTTTATTATTTAAAGATTTAATAAATCACAAAGGTTCTTGAACTTTGAGAAATTTTTAGTTAGATTCTTAAACTTAAAAAAAATAAAATGTAACTGAGTCATTGAAGTTTTGTAATTTTTGTAATTAGGTTTTTTAAATTAGTAAAATTAGCATAAATTGTTACTTTTGTAACAATCGCTACAAATTAACCACATAAATTCAATTAAAAAAATATTCTAGTTCTAATTATATTTTTTTAAGTATAGGAATTAATTAAAAATTTCCTAAAATTCATGAACCAATTGTCATATTAAACTTTATTTAAAAATATTATTTTTAAAAAATGTTATTTCCTTCAACCGTTTCTTTACATAAATTATACATGAAAATTATTCTCATGATGAAGTAAGAAATTGATTTTTTCAAGTTAAAAGAAAGATTTTACTATGACCTATATTTACTAATTTATTACAATAAAAATATTTGATTTTCAAGTAATATATATAAATATTTTAAAGAATATTTATGACCAATCAAATAAATTTTAATCATTATAATTTCTATAATTCAATGTTCCTGAGATAACAGTTCTTAAACATGAAAAAATTTCTCTTGCATCAACACGTATCCTGAATGTATAAGATAAAAAGTTACTAATAAATTTTGACAAAGAAAAATTACTTGAATTTCATTTATTAACAGAATTTAAATTGTTATGAACTTTTATGTGAAAATATGATATAAAATATTCATTCTAAAGTAATTAATAATTTTTCTTAGCTATGTTGTAATTACTAATATAAAATACTTTTTTCATACTTTACCTTATCATTCTATATTTATTTACACACAAATTATTTTCTCATTATAAGTATTTTCATTATATATTTACTTATAGACAAATTATTTTCTCATCATAAGTATATTTTTATCTTATATTTGATTATAATCCAACATGTTTATATTTTATACTATTTTTAAATTAATTTTACCATGATAGGAAGAGAAACATCTGACACTGTGATAGTGAGACCCACAAAAAATATTCCTCCCCTCTACTCTACTGGTACGGTTTGTTGTTTGGCAGTTGGCAGAGAAAAAGGTGTTGCCATTCTCTGTTTTGCCCCTGTGGGCTGTGGTCCCATTTGTATGTCATCCCTGTCCCCGGAACTATGCATACATACACCCCCCATTTTCACTGCAATCTAAAATCTTGGTAGCTACAGTAACTGCTGCACACCATTTTAGTTTGACCACCGTAGCTACGGTGCTCCTAATGGCATTGTATCGGTGGTCTAAACTTCTTTATAATATTTTAGTTTTTTTTCGGATATTTTTTCATTTTTCATTCATAACAAGTGTTTCTCTTTTTCCATATAATATTTATGTATTTATTTGTATATAATTTTTTTATAAAAATAAATAAACTGTCTCCACTAGCACAATGTTCTAGGTCTGCCACTGTATAGACTCATACAAAAAAAATACTATATCTGTACAAATAATTCAGTCAAGTAGAAATACTAACACTACATGTTCAAGCTCAATAACATTAAAATTAACAGTTTTAGCTTTTAATTAAATAACTAAATATAAACAGGGAGCAACTCTTAAGATTTCTCCAATCAGATAACTAATGAATTACATGATATATTATAAAAATATTTTAAGATACATTAAACAAAATCTGAAGCATTTTGCAGGTATTTTGGACTTTCACCTTACATGACTGTTTAAACATTAAGGATACATGTAATACCTTTATTTATTTCTAGTAGCCAGGACTTAGAAAAGTTTTAAAATGGTCACCGCAACCTTACCACCTAATTCTTCGATTAACAGTACATCCAAACATTGCAACATCTGTCCAATCTTCTTTGGATTGCAGCACTGACCTATAGCGACAAAAACAACATTTGAATATCTAAACACAAACAATGCTGTTTTAGGATCACGCCATCTACCTCATTGAGCACTGAAATGATTGCAAGACTAAAAAAACGGAGGGAGGAAAAAATAAGAATATAACTGCAATCTAGAGCAAGGTTTTCAATTGTGATTGCAGTTGCAATTACAGTACTGTTGCAATCAGAATCATGATGTAATTGTGAAGAGTCCAGAAACTTCGACATTACAGCGGCTATTGTGGTTACGAAACTTTTCTAAAACCTTAATTGTGAGCTAAGATTTCCTTAATTTCTTCTTCATCGAGGTTTATATTATCAGCTTTCATACTCTCTAAAATCCCATCTAAATCCTTCCCACATCTAACGTACATCTTGATCAAAGACAGATACATGTCCCTATTCATTGAATTCACAGTCTTCATTGAATTAACAAAATCTTCCACTTCCCCTACATCTCTGTTACTAGTGACCCAATTGAAAATGCTGGACACGACATCAACTTTTGGTCTCCAACGTGTGTTCTGGTCTAGCACAGCCAGAGCTTCCTTGATGCACTGAAATGCCTTCTCCATGTTCTCCTTGTCTACATACCCAGATGCAATGATGCCCCAACTGTTGGGAGTCGGTGTCTTTCCTTTTGCGGCCAAACTTCGCAGCACTGCTTCTGCCTTCTCAACCATTCCCTTCTGGGAATACCCTATGAGGAGGACGTTAGGCACTCTGAAATCACAAGTGTTACCAGATAACTCCCACTCGGCAAGTACTTTTTCAGCTTGATCAAGCTCCCCAAGCTTCACCAAACAACCCAACATGGTTATATACTCCCTGTTACGCTGCTTCTTGCAGTTGGCTTTCTGGAGCCTCCAAACTCTCATCATGCCCCCCTTGCCCCCAAGACCTGCATAGTGTGATATCAGATGGTTGTAGGCAAGCACGTCGCGCTTGTCTGCTTTTTCCTCACACTTCTTCAGGAAAACCAGAGCCTTCTCCTTCATGCCTGCTTTTATGTAGAACTTCACCACCATAGAATATGTCATCCAATCTGTGCCAATGTGGGGTTCACTCTCCATCTCCTCCAACAGTTTCTCCACATTCGCGAGGTCGCCTCGCATGCCATAAGAGTTTATGCAAATCCTGTAGCTGAAGATGTTTGGAGAAACACCATCGGTTTTCATCTGGGCCAAGACACCAGGGACTTTCTCAAGTTGTTGGGTGTGCGTGTAGAGCCACATTATGTTGTTGTAATTGAGAAGGGAAACCATACCCATGTCCTTCATCTTCTGCATCTGCGAGAGTGACATTTCAACCAATCCTTCCCTCACATAACAATTCAAAAGGGCACCGTGAGCCTTGAAAGTTTTGTCTCTATCACTCAAACTGTTGAAATAACTCTCCGCACTCTCCACTCCACGAACTCTACCAATGAGATCTAACTGCACCGCTTGGTTACCCGAGGAAATTGGGCATAGCCCTTTGCTACTCATCCACTCAGAAACCTGAACATGTTAAGATTGAAGATATCTTAGTATTCATCCACTCAGAAACCTTAACACATGAAGATCGAAGATATCTTAGTAATAGCTATTGATCCACTCGGTTGAAGATATCTCAGTAATTGCTACGTAAGCAGGAACATGTGGAACAATTAAAAAAAAAAAAGAAAACCCTCAGTTTACTGTAGTTCAATTTTTTCATTTTCATGTCTCTTCAACACTCTAACGTTGTTTTTGTTACACACTCAATCTCTGGTTAAAATTTGAGTTTAGTTAGTTTGGAAATGGAATTTCATGTTTAGTGAAACCCACATGAATTTTATCTAATAGTAAGAAAGAATGGGTCAGAAAATAAGTGTTGGGGAGTGGATCAGTAACATTTCTTTTCACCTTATTTCCAATTCTTTTATAGAACAAATACTGAAAGAAAAAAAAGAAAAAAAAAAAACGCATTTACAATATAAAGGTGTTTTTGCACTATCATTTACATGCATGATAATATTTCGAGTTCAATAGATACTATAAACTAATAATATACCCGTTAATAATCCTTTTCTACAAAACATAAGAACCAGGGCTAGCATGCGTTTCTCAGAGGCAAACAATTAGCGTGTTTTACTTCTAAACCTAACTCATTTGTTCTGCTCAGCGACGAAACAGAGAACTGAAAGAACCTCGAGTGCTTGGGTGAGGCGCTTGTTGGTGCGGAGGATTTTGACGATGCGTTGAAGCTCGAGGCCGTTAACGGCGTTACCTTGTTGGATCCACCTGTCGAGAACGGGGACAACGCTCACGGAAGGGTCTCCGAGGGGGCTGATTCGGGAATAGAGGTTTTTTGGGCCCCTTGTGGCTGCGGAGAATCGTCGCAGAAACGTTGCGGCGAGGTTTCGAGACGCCGTTAACGACATTGCCAAACGAAGACCAAGTGTTCGTTCAAATGGGAAGGAAGCGAGGTTGCGGAACCTGAACAGAGCAAAGACGCGCGTAAAAGCAGGTTGCCAAGTGGGAACTTGTCTTGGCGGGCTGGCCTGGCCTGTTAAGGCCCAATATTTCGGCCCAAGGAGCTTTTAGCCCGGAATGAAAATAATTTGGAAGATGCATAATTTTCAAAATCCGTCATTAAATCGATTAGGATATTAGATCAAAATAAGTGAGTCATTAATTGATCCAAATTTTATTATTTTTTCTTAAAAAAATATTTATGTTGAATATATTTTAGACTTATACATTTTAATAAATTTATATTTTATCTTAAATTTTAATTTTTATCTTATTTAAAATTATCTTTATTTTCATTTTGTATATATATGAAAAAATTAATTTTAAATTGTATACACTATAAAAGTTATTTAAGTTACATATATTACAAACAAATACATTAGAATAAGTGGTTATTATAGTGTTTACTATGACTTTTTATTCTTTCATTAATGGGGTTTGATTTTTATATTGTGTTTTTTTTTTGAAATTTTTTTTAAAGTGATAAAAAAAATCTTTATGGTTGAACCAATTTGATCGTCCGGTTCACTAGTCGAACCAAAAGTTTAACCGGTTCATTTTAATTTAAAACGGGTCAAATATATAACCGATTCAACTAAAGACTCATATCTAAAGATTGACTACACCATAGATTCCCGTTAAAAGGATGAGATTCATTTGAATAACTCAAAAAGTAAAATAAATTAAAAATTAAATAAAAAAATCGAATGTTCAAATATAACTATAATTAGGGAATATTGAAATGACAAAGACTTAACATAGCATAACACTCCCAAAAATTGGAGCATTTACAAACACGCATTTGACTCTACTGATGCAGCAGAACACATGTTCATAGCACTACTGCATTATTGAATTCTCTGAAACAATATCAATTAAGAATTGAAGAAAGTGTATGATACTGAGATGATATATATCCTCCACTCCTGGCTTTTAAAAGTAGCATGGATGTGGAAATGTATGTTAATGTGTGTCACTGCAGCTAGAAGAACTGAGTTTTGGATGAAAAAGTTTGTCCAAAGGTCCAAGTGGAGGGAACCACATTGAGGAACAGCAGTGTCTTCCCATCAACCAATGTGATCTTGAATGAGAGTCTCTGGTTTCTGAGATCTGCACTGCTCTGCCAGTTGGCTCCCCAGTTCCTGTGCATTGGCAGCCATGCTCCACTTCTGGACCCTCTGATCCACACACCCTTCACATCCCCACTCCCTCCCACATTGGATACCATCACCATGTTGAAATTGGATTGCCCCTTCAATGTGAACCTCACTCCACCTCTTCTTTTGCATGCCACCCTCCAGATCAAGTAACATCAAATCAAAATTACTCATATTATAACAAACAACTCTTAAAGAAACTAATTTATAAAATTAATTTATAAGGTAAAAATTGTTTTATAATCCTATCTTTAATTTATATATATATATATATATATATATATATATATACTATTCCAGTCACTTATCTAACTTAAATTAAAAATTATAACAATAACAAAATTTGGATTTAAGAACATATAGATATGTAAATATACTATTTTAGACACTCACCATTAGATTATATTATATTTCACTCAATGAACAAATGGATGTAACTTTCCTCACCCTATAGTTAATCACCTACAATTTTATTGACTTTAATTTCTCAAAAAAAACTTAATTAAGTTTGGTTTTCGTTCATTAAAAAACAAAAAAAATTACTTTAGTTCTTTTAATCTAAAAATGCATCATACATGTTTGATCTTTAAAGTATTTTAGATAATATTTTATAATTATTTTAAGTGTTTTATAAATAAAAAAATAAAAATGATATATTTTTAAATTAGAGAGATTAAAATAATTAAAAAATTAAGAGACTGCAATTGAATTTCAAAAATTTTAAGAAGACTAAAAATATTTTTTTAATTAAGGAAAATCAAACTTGATATTAATAAATTTATAATACACATGTATTTAATTATAAACCAATTGAGTTAGACTTATCGATAATTATCATTTATGTTTTTTTAATAAAAAGTAAGTGATGTTATTTTTTTCTTCAATTTAATATATATATTTTATTTTTATTGTATAATTGCTATTTCTTTTGTTCTATGGTACATATTACAGTGCATGTGGCATATTAACAATTTTATTTATACTTTTTAAACCTCAAAGAATAAGTCGGTCATAGCACATGACATAAAAAGATAGTATAAAAATTATTGTTTCATATTCTTGTGATGTTACACCTCATTTTAATTTATAATATTCATATAACTAATGAGTTGCGTTACAGAACTATGATGAGAGATGTAATGGAAAGAAAGAGAGAGAAAAAAGCACAAAGCTGATAAAAAAAAATAAAAAAAAAAAGAGAGAGAGAGAGAGATTATTTTTAACAAGTTAACAAAATAGATAGATCACTCTTGAGGTAAATAAAAAAGGAGTTTGGAAAAAAAAATCAATTCTAGATAAGAGAAAAGGCAAAGTAAAGGACTATTTTTCAATAATGTAAAATTTGGTGAAAAAAAAAATAATCATACTTCAGTTTTAAAAATTGAAGTTCATGTTGAATGTTCTAATATCCTCCACTTGCTATTTCATATTAACTAATCTGAAAATCTAAAATTATAATTTTTTTAACTATGTTATTAGTAACATCTATTAGTTTTATTGATCACTAAATTTTTGTTAAAAAATCTAACTCAAACACATAATTTTCATCCAGATAACTCAAACCGTAACTTTACTAAAAGGGGTTGAATTCAGTTTCATTCATTACATACGAGTAATCTAAAATTATATTAATTTTCTTTAGGCATAAGTGTCGTGGATCAACTCTCTTTGCACTTTTTTATTTTTATTTTTATAGTTTTAATTGTTGGTATGTTTTTAATGATATATAGAAGATGGAAATAATGTTTTGTAGTATACCTTCTATAAAGGACAGGAACAATGCCTTCATTTCCTTGTCGTGCAATACGAAGAAAAGCAGGCATAGACATGTCAAAGTGATGGTAAGGAGGGTCACACCACCCTCCATGGTTGTTTGGAGGGCAAAAATTAGTGGCGGTTACTGTCACACTGCGGCTAATAAGGCACCACTTTGGGTCTGCCCTATAGTCACACATTAATTGGTAGCAAGCACCACAAACCTCACCATCTCTGAAAAGCATAGTGCTCACTGCTGCAGTGTTCACACCAAACCCAGCATGAAAGGTATCATCGTAGCCACAAGCTCCCCCTGAAAATAATAGTTACAAATTATATTAAACTCAATGTCACAAATAAAGAATGAAGAATTAATTAAATTGTATATAATCTTTTTTTTACTTTAATAATTAAGAGGTGTAACTCTTTCGAATCAAATGGATCTCTATAAAAATAAAATAGTATTTTTTATTGTAATTTTATATTCAAATTGGTGATCAAACATCAATTATTGTCAAATCACTTGCACTAATATTAATTATAATGACTTTTAGTTGAATATTATGTTTATAATACATGTTTTATTATACTGTGTTTCTCTTTTCATAGTTAATTAATTATATTGCATTTTGAGGAAAGAATAACTTTGATTTTTTTACTAACCATTTCTCTTACATCTCTTTAATGTTTTCTCTTTTCTCTTTTTCTTTTTCATCCCATGCATATCATTTGTGATAGGGTGGTAATAAAGGTTCACTTCAAGGTGACCATGAATTGAGGTAAAAAAAAAAAAAAAAGAGAGATAATAACAAAATAAATCAAATAAAGAAAAGAGTACGTAACCGATATCATGAACAATACAATATAATATAGAGAAGAAGGAAAATGATAAAAATAAACATGAGTAAAAATATATAATGTGAGAGCCCATATATCTCACACCTCGTAAAAGGGGTATGAGAGAATATTTTTGTTTCAAGAATAACTTTTAACTTTCACGTGCATTTGCGAGTTGGTTTTCCCATGAAGAAAGAGGGTGAACGTATTAGTATATATTAATATATATACATAGATCAAACCAACATAATAATAAGTTAGGTTTATAAGCTATAGTAGTGATTGTTAATTACATATTAAAAAAGACTTACCAAGGGTAGAGGGACTTTGATTTGCCCCATAGAACGTTGCATGAGCATTAAGCCAACCGTTACTAGCATGGACGTGGACTACACTGAAAACAAAAGCAAAGCAAAGATAGGAAAGAAAAGTTGAAGAAATCACATGAGGCCCCATTTTCTCTCAGAAGAAACAACTTTTGGTTTGTTTTTCTTTCGTGGAACAAACAGGTACTAGTGTTACATATGATCCTAGGAGAAAGTGTCCGGTTTTATAGGTGGAAAACGCGGTTGTCGGTGACATGAATATTAAATCGGATCCGTTAATTAACGACTTTGATGGGATTTTGATCCTTAGAAAACGCGTTTCCTTATACGCTTCCAAGCACGGAAGACTGTACGGTTGGGTGGCGGAATAGAACTTAGAGACAAGAAGATAAACAAGCACATGCAATAGCCTGTCCTCACAGCAAACACTCTTCAAATCCTCTCTCTTTTCTCTCTCTTCTCCGTCAACAAATCAACACCCATTTTTCACATTTTCAGCTTTTCAAAACATTTTAAAAAAATGAGTAAGTTTAAGGTATTAAATTGAGAGTAGGAGACTAAGACTTTGTTTGGATATAAATTTATATATAAAAAAAAATTAAGGATATTTTTATTTAAATGTTGAGGTACAATTAAAGTCTCACATTTTTATAACAAAATGATCTATAAACATGAATGTGTGCATTGAAGGGAGATATTTTGGATGATGATCAAAAAGAAAAATTATGAAAAATTAAATTTAATGGGACATAATATTTTTGCTAACATAGATACATGCATGTGTAGGAACTTTGATGTACAATAACTAATATAAGAGCCAATGATTTAACTAGATGTACAATAGAAAATAAAGAATGTTTTTAGTAAAAAGTTTTCAAAAAATATTTCTAAATTGTATTCAAACATGTTTTAATTATATTCATTTAAAAATTTGAATTGGGTGTCTCTTTGCTATACTCTTTTAGTCTTTTCATGCACAAGGACATGAGATCGTGTATTTTTGAACAAGTAAAATATAATAGAAGATGTATATACTATATATAATATACATGATGAACTATTAAGAGAACTAGAATTTATATATTGGTGTACATGTTAGAATAGGGAAATGAAAATTCTAATGAAAATAGACCGACAAATTTTTATATATATAATTTAAAAAGTTAATATATAGAAAACAATATTAAAATAATTTTTACTTCTTTTATAAGAAAATTTGTAATACTCTTTTTCGGTTTAATCAAAAAGGAAATGAAAGTTGTGGAAGAAAAATAGAAAAGATAATTATTTTTCCCGTTAATTTTGTTTAACAACGAAATTGTTGAGAAAGGAAAAAAAATGTGAATCTTATTTTATTCTGTATAATATTAGTAAACAAATGTGAAAATGAATTAAAGAGATCGGTTTTTTTACTTGCTTTCAAATGATAGTATCCGTCTCCTACATCACTGATTCTACACAGCTGTCATATTTATTCTACTACTAAAATTTCTTTTATTATATGCAATTTTTTTATGAATTTTTATGAAAAATTCGTAGGAAACATTATTCCTACAAATTTTCTACGAAATTTTATCATAAATAATATATTTTTATGAATTTTAAAATTTGCAAGAAATTTTCATGCAAAATTTCTTGCAAAAAAAAATTTGCAAGAAAGTTTCTTGCGAATTTTTTCACAAGAAATTATACAGGAATATTTTTTTTGAAAAAAATTAAAAAAATTACTATAAATTCTATCAATAATTCTTCAACTTTCAAATGTTCACAATGAATTCATGCGAAACATTTGTTTCCATGTCTCCAACATGTGATACATATTCTTTTAAATTCTAAGATTGTAGATTATAAGTCTAGCACTCAACCATAAAATCAACTTGTAAGGTAAGTGTTCCCCAAACTTAAATATTCTTTAATTATTTTATTTTCAATCGATGTGGGTCTTGAAGTTTTTTTAAAATATTAAACTTATAAATTTAAATATATATATATATATTTTTTATTTCCTGCGGATTAAAATTTGCAGAAAAATGCACAGGAAAAGTTACCTGCAAAATTTTTCTACCATTTAGTAAACATTACTTGCGAATTTATTTTTGCAAGAAAATCTGCAAGAAACAAAATAAAATTCTTACAATATTTTCTGCAAATTTTTACCATGAAAAAAACTTTCTATGATCACTAAAATTGTAGCAAAATTTGCAAAAAATTTCTTGTATATTATTTTTCGTAAAAAAGTTTGAAAAAAATATCTGTAAATTATTTTTCGTAAATAAATTCGTAAAAAAATTTTGCGAATTTATTATTGCAAGAAAATTCGCAAAAAATTTCTGCAAATATTTTTTTTAGAAAAATTGGCAAGAAAATGACACTTTTCTGATAGTGTTCCTTGAAATATTTTTTTAGAACTTCTCTAATGAAAAATATTCTTTATTTATAATAGAGAAGTTCTCAAAAGTGCTTCTACTTTGTATCCATACAAACTCTTATTTATTTATTTTATTTCTTTCATCACCAAACATAATATAAAAAAATATATAAATGAACTTTCTCTAAAAAGAAATCTATAAACGAATTATGTTTTTTTTTAATTATATTTTGAAATATACGGTCCATGTGTTTTTTTCAATGATTGTCGCAACAATAAGTTAGCATTGCTATTTACATTTTAATAAATGAGTAGTTTTTCAATTTTGACTTATCGAATAAGCTTCTTGAATTTTAAAGATTATTAAATAAAGAGTATCAATTTTATTTTATATCTTATTCGAAGATAAGAAAAATATGTTTTCAATTTCTCTAAATATTTTTGAAATTCAGTTTTAAGTCTTGATTTTTTTAACTATTGCGATCCCTATAATTTTAAAAATATACTATTTTTATTCCAAAGGGGTTTAAATACACTTAAAAATGATTTTAAAATATTATCTAAATTACTTTAAAGACAATAAATAATGCATTTTAAAATTATAATGATCAAAATAATACAATTTAAAAAAAAAAAAAAACTAGTACCAATCTTCAAAAAATTTAAAGTAACCAAAAAAATATTTTACGCAACACTATTTTTCTCTATAGGTTTTTCACTCTTAATTCCGTGGTATGCTAATTAATTTATTTTCTAAATTTCGTACAGATGAATAGTAATTGTAATTGACACGTACGTATATAATATATAGATAATATAGATATGCATTCACTTGATTCTTTAAAGAAGATTCTTTCAATCGTGTACACATGCAGGAAATCAAGTGGTCATTTAATTAAGATGATATTAATGAGAGGCCTTGAAATTCTTAATGTCTAATTAATTAATAGAATATTTAAGAGTGCTTTATTTATTTTTATTAGTCGGAATTATGAATACAACAATTTTAATTTAAAACTTTATACATACTACACTAACCTCATCATTATTGTTTATATATAAATAAATCCACCTTTATTATGATTTATCATATAATTTATATTTAATTTTAATTTATACAATTTTTTTTTATCAACAAGGTCATGGTTTGATGCAATAGATTGTGTGGTTTAAACAGTAAAGTCAAGCTCTGAATAAAATTTAAAATTGCTAACATTTGAAGTATTAAAATCCACGTTTAACCTCATTAGGAAGGGAGTCTTCGCCTGATTCACGTCTGATGTCACCTTAGTGGCGCCTGACGTCATTCAGAGAGCTTTTGTCTTGTTCATGCTTAGCACCACCCATTTGGTACCTAACGTCACCAAGTCAGAAACTATCTCCCTAATGTACAATTGTGAGTCTCTTCAAGGATCACTTCTTGTTGACAAGAAGAAAGTATGCATACTTGGCCAATCTATAAACAATCACCCACCTTATTTGGTGATACCCCGATTTCATATCTATTTTTGAGAACATCGCAACTCCTTTAAGTTGATCCACATCAAGTCATCTATTCGAGGTAGTGAATATTTGTTTTTTATTGTCAACTTATTTAGTTGTTGGTAATCCACACAAAAGCGAGCACCACCATCCTTCTTCCTTACCAGTAATGCCGAAGCATCTCAAGGAGACACACTTGATGACCTCACCAACTATTTCTCCAACAATTCTTCCACCTACTTCTTCAGCTCCACCAACTCAATTAAGGCCATCTTATAAGGAGCTGTTGATACCGGCTCGGCACCTAGCACCAAATCAATACTAAACTTCGTGTCCTTCACACGAGGTAACCTTAACACTTCATTCGGAAACACCACTAGGAACTCCCTCACCACATCTATCTCACTGATTGCCTTCTTGGGCTCTATGCTTATAACAACAAACAACATGAAGCATCAAACTCCACCCCCAAATAGCTATTTAGCTTGGCTAGCTAAAACCAACACATCATTCTTCACTTGAGGAAACATTAACTCCCTTTAAGCATAATCTATAAGGACGTGATTGGCAAACAATCAATCCATTCCCAAGATTATGTCAATCTCCACCATGGGCAAACATATCAAGTTCACTCTGAACTTTCTACCGAACACCTCTATAAGGCACCTCACACACATTTTCAACATCACCACAGTGATAATAATTGGAGTAGAAACACATAAATCAACATGCAAAGCATATACAAATAACCCCAACCTCCCCACACAAGCAATAGAGATGAAGGGATGTGTGGCTCTTAAGCCAAACAAAAACATAACATCTTTATCAATCACTCTACCCTTCCCTTTCACCAAATCTGATAAAGTGGAAACTTTTACACTAGTCAAAGCAAAAACACCCCTTATTGTTGTAGGCTAGTTGGCCTCAAAGTACTCCTCGCTTAAGTAGGCCTCACCTAACAATCTCCAAAAATGTGGTCCAACTTACCACATTTGTAACACATATTCTCCAAGTGGGAAAAATCCCAAATAAGGTGAGCTCCTCCACATTTGACACATTTGATCTCTTGAGCTCCACCTTAAGGAGTAACAGTTTGAGGTACCCTTATGACAAAACCCCTATGTTGTTAAGAAGGTCTATCATATGGTCTCCTATGTTGACCTCTTCTTTTGAATCCTGATGATCCCTCCTGACCCTTGGTAGCCTTATTACCACCACCACCCTCTAATCTCTCAATAGTCTTTGTCTTCTCAACCAAGGTAGGAAACCCTATGATTGACATAGGGACTACCACACACTTTAGTTCATGCCTCAAACCCTCAACA